AGCGCCCGAGACCGCCGTGCTTCATGCCAACACTCGCAGCGGGCCCTCATCCGCGAGCGTGCGAGAAGCCCATAGAGACCCGTGCCAGTGCGCCACACGCCAGTGAGTCACTTTCTGCATCTAGTGAGTCCCCTGCCGTGCCACCAGCAGTTCGCGCCCGTGAAAAACCTCGCGCAGGTCGTGAGTGCTTTTTCCAGCGCGCCTTCCAGCAATCGCAACCAAACTTGCCCTTTTGCGACCTCGCGAGATGAATCTGCATAGATGAAGGACTCGAGAATACCCTTTGTTAGTGAAATTATATTCCACCTTCACTTTAGAGGCTGAGGTCACCGACACTAGCTACACATCCTTCGCAGTCCACAAGACGGATATCTTACCTAGGAAGTTTCAAATACATTCCCTTCTCAATTACATCGACCCTGATTCTTGAATGCTCACAAGGCTGGAGTAATATAAGACCATTCAATAAGCTTACCTACATGCATCATAGTGTTCATCATTCTAGTAGTGGAAAGTCACCTCTAGGTGAGTGGATGTGAAAGTAACATCATACTAGGATGATCGGAACCGTGTAGAAGCATCGGATCACTTTGTCGAATTTTTACCGTCCTTCAACATTTGTTGTTAATATCGGCCATAAATTGTTCCTACGCTGCTCTATCTTCAATATTAAGCTAGGTCGACCTAACAAATTGTCTTTGCCGTTCAGGATTTTCGCCTGAATTTCTCAAAAATTCTGCTCTGGTGCCATGTTAAATTTAAGTGGAACCATTACGAGGAATTCCTCATTTTCATATTCAACATTATGAAGATTCAAGTACAAAAGATCTATACACCTTTCCATTTGTACGTAGTGTACGTAATACAATTACGTCACATACGCAGCCCCATGACACCATTTTTTTTTTTTTTGGTACAAAGACGGAGGCCAAAGGCCTGGGAACTACGACACTAGGACTCGACGCGGGTGAGATACCCGACGGTAATCATAATCAATCCACGACACCAATTTCCATTAGTAAACTAATAAGAAAAACGTATTAGCTAATAAAGGAAAACGCGAAAGCCTCTTTACGATTTAGTCTACGAAAGGAAAACAGAAATAGCTAACTATTAAGAACTGAAAGCACTTCAATTACTTAAGCTAGAACTTAAAAAGAACAATACTATAATAGTTCATATTAAAAACGTAAACAAAAAATCCAAAATCTAAGGGCAGAACGTAATAAGATAATCTCCGCCCGTCGGGCAGGTAAACGTGCTCGTCTTGTCGTCGTACGCGTAGCTGTAAGCCTGCGGGCACATGCTCTTGAAAATCATGGAATAAAACGTGGGCGGGCACTTGTCGGGCGTCCCGTAATCCCCTGTGCAGCAATACTGCGGCTGATTGAAGGCCAAACACGCGCTCTTACACCCAATTGCTCCGCCACTCGGGTCCCTGACCGCAAGTTCGTCGGGGCAGCCGTTGTTGCTGATGTCGACCGGGCATGCCACGGTCGGGCAGTTTGCTCCGCTGACCGAGACGGGCAGATTGTACCCGTCGACCAAGCTGATGTCGTAAAAGTCTTTCCCGCCGTCCCCACCAAGCGTGAACTCGACGAGAGAGGCTGGTGGGGCAGCACCAGCCTGGCTGCACTCGACCTGCCCCGACCCGCAATCCGCGCTAAGGCAGGTGAACTTGTCCCCGTACGAGCATTCGAACCGGGCCCAGAACCTTCCAGACCATGGGGAAGCAATGTCGAGGGATTTCGTGGCCTGTGATGGTAGCTCGAAGCCGGTTTGGGATTGCGAGCCCGAGCCGGTCAGGGTTGCGGGCCAGATTGTGTAGGGGCAGTTGTTTTTTATGGTGAACACGGCTGAATGGACGTTGCTAGTGGCTGCAGAAAAAAAAAATCCATAAATCTTTTTTGTTAGTTTTGTTTTGATAATTGGGGGAATACTCATTCCGTCTGAATTTGCAATCGTTAAATCAACTATCCCCGAAGATTATATAATGATCTAACGGTGACAAACCTGACGGAATGGTCGTAACAGGACCGTAGCATTTTCTGTTAATTGGGTTAATTAAATGTGGGAAAAAAAAAAAGTGGTTACCGTGAAGAAGGCATAGTGTGACAATTACAGAGGTGAAGCCTTGGATTTCCATAGTGAATAGTATATAATACCTGAGAATGAAGAAGTTAGATATGTGTATAGTTGACAAATTATATAAAATTACAATGTAATTTTAAATAAATTTTATATCGATTCTAAAGTTTTTTGCAAGTTATTTACAGTGTTGAAACTATTGAAATTTATAGATTTCAATAAACAAACCAACAAAATATTCAATTATATGTTTCGTATTAAATAGAGTAATTGATAAATTTCAAAGAAAAATCAATAAATAAACAAACCAACAAAAGATATATACAAAATATTCATTTATGACTTTGTATTTACAGAATATTCAATTGTGATTCGTATTTAATAGAAAAATCAATGAACAAACTAATAAAAAGATACAAAATATTCAATTATGATTTGTATTTACAAAATATTCTTCAATTATGATTCGTATTTAATAGAGTTTAATATGTAACATAAAGAAGAACAGAGATGAAGAGCTTAATTAATTAATTACCTCCTCGTGCTTTCAGAAAATTTTCGAGTAGATTTTAATCTCCAAATTCGACGCCCACTCAACTTTATATAGTATCTTTATAATTTAATATAAATAAATGTATATTGATTAAAGAAAATATACCAAATTTAATTTTGGTATTTGTTCATTAAAAACGGAAATTATATTTACCTGCATTTAAGTAAGATTTTATTTCAAATCTAAAATCTAAATAAGTCCTTAAATAAGTAAAATTTCATACTTATCATTATTAAAAAAAATAAAAACAAAATCCCGAATGATATTTCCAAATATTTACAAAATTTTAAAGTTTAAAAATCTTTCACAAATACATTACCTAAAATAGTTCAATAAGTATAGTAACAACTATAATTCTCGTATAGAAGAAACGCAAAAAATTATTCCCAATTCGGTTCGTGGAAATCTCTATATATGAACAAGTGAAGACATCGATCTAACGTCTTCAATTTATACTAAGATCGTCTCCAACCGAGATGCAAATCTCATTAGATGCAGTAAAAGCACTCCAATCGTACACTAAACGCATATGCAAATTCCGTTTCAAATTATAATAATTTTATTTTAGTCCTTCTATTAATAATTGTATTTTGATAGAATAAAACATATAATTTGAAAGAGAATATTATTTGTCTTATTTTTATTATATATTAACTAGTACAACACTCGTGTATTGCACGGGTGCTTGTTAAAATTTTTTTTCTTAAAATTTAAATTAATGAGAAACATTAGTTGAAAATTTAAATAGTTTTTATAAAAAAAATATATATTATTATATGTTTTATTATGACACTTATTACTTGTGTGACTTACATGTGTCAAATTATAATAATGTTTCTAATTTTTAACATATAATTACAATAAACATAAATATATTAGTTGAGAAATAATTTTATTTTCAAATTAATTTTAGTAAATAATTTTATTATTATTATAAAAAATATAATTTATTTAATTTATATATACAAAATGGATGTCAAATCGAAACGCATCAAAAGACAATTAATTTTGATATATTATATATGTAAAACCGATAAAAAACACAAAAGTTATCAACTTTTAAAATATATTTACAATTTAATGGTTATAATAGGAAATGGCATTAAAATACAATTAATACATCAATGTATTTATGGTAATTCGAACCTAATTATTCTGGGATTAAAATTAAATTAAAATATATCCAAGCCAAACAATGAAGAATGAAATTTTGACACATAGGATCCCAAAGCATGCGAGCGCATTCGGGAGTTATATATAGGGGTGATATGTAATATATATATCTCGCATTTTTTTAGATTTGTTGTCAGTTACCTTATCGTTCAAAATTATCAATTAATCTGTAGAATTAAATTACTAATTTTAAATTTTATTAATGAATGTTTGTTCAAAGATTATTATAATTTTCTAGAGGAATATATCAATTTGTCTAATTATCATCAATATATTATGGGAAATTATTATGCAAATATGCTAAATTTTAAGAATCACATCACCTTGATCTTATAAGAATGTGGTTCATTCACTTTTTATTTTACATTCTAATCAACTAATTCAGAGATGAGAAAGAAATATTTTTACCATTTTCAAAATATCTAATTATTATTTTATTTTATTCTTTGTTTCTTATTTATATTTTATTTTTATTTTTGTCAATTGACAATATTATGTTTGATCATATTGTGCACGCATATAATTTTTTAGA